AGTTAAGAAAAAAAAGAAACTTCTTGACAAAAAAATCAATAACTGTTTACATAATCTAGAAAAAGAATATAGCAAGAAGAAAATATCATACTACTATTTCTAAAGATAGACATACTATTTGAAACTGCAACAATCACTGAAGAACAAAATACCATCCAAATACAAAAAAATAAACAATTTATTAAAATTTTTTGTTTTTATTGTAAATTTATTATTGAAAATTCATTAATATTATTAAAAAATATAAAAATTTTAATAAATTTTTGTTTTTAATAGTAATCATTAAAATATATAATCTTAAGTATTTTTCAATAATATATATTTTTTATTTAATTAATAAGTATTTATATAACAGCACCTTTTTAGAATATTTTTTTAAAATAAATTGATTTTATTGATTTTATGATTTTATTAAAAGAATGTTATATTACGGTTAATCTTTCTATAATATCTTCGTTTATAATCTCGCCATGTAAAAAATTTTTTTTATAATCACATTGCTTTCAATATCAATTATGTTAATTTTAATTATAAAAAGTATAAAGAATTATAAATACCATTTTCTATAATTGTTTTTTTTAAATTTTCATATATGCCGAAATGGAGTAACTATAGATAGGATTGGCTGTATTATTTTTTTTGTTTTTAAAATTGAACTTTAATACGTGATAATATATTTTCGAAAATTCCTTAATCTTCACACATAATTATTATTTATTAAATTCTAAATAATAAAAAATCATTCAGAATGTAATGAGCCGAAAATGGTTCTGAACAGTCCATTTATACGACATAACATAGAAATGTTTTAATCGACAATTTAAACTTTTTAATATAATGAAATTCATCCGAATTAAAATTTCCAAAGGAAAAATATAACGAGATTTGCACGTGGTGCTCGCTCATATTAATAATATGAATTTGAATTTATTTCCCAATCTTTGTTATTTAAATGAATCTAAATTTATCCTACATTTTAAATCAAAGTTGAACAATTTTATACAATTCGTGTACATACAATTACGACTTTACGTGAGAGTTTATGGCGGAAAATCTATTTTTCTTATTCCTACTGACCATCCAACCTTCTCGAAAAAAAAGTTTTTTTTTTGCAAAAAAAAAAAAATAAAAAATAGTTTAAATATGTACGACATCGTTGACTAAAGTGGCTGTACCTCGGATGATAAACATACGACTCCCTAAAAAATTTAATCCAAAAATTACTACATCCTATGGACATTACTCAGAGTTGGGATTATAATACAGAGTGAAATAGATAAATCGATCAATCGTTGGTATTTAAACACTAAGATAGAGCGCGATCAAAAAGCCTGTTTTTTTTTTTTCTCCCGTAATAGTCAAAATATTAGATCAAGCTCTCCGTCAGATGACTACATTCCAAATAAATGACATATAAGTGACCGGGATAACTTATTTTTTTTGTTATATGTTTATGAAAATTCAACCCACTTACCGAATCATCCAAATGATCGGGCCTAAGTAAATCGATGAAAATATAAATATATATTTAGAATAAGTTTTATTGACAAAAGGAATTAAGACTCACGTATCACCCAGTGTGGATTCTAAAGACTTGACCCGTTCTTTCAATTCATTTTTTTGCATTAACAGTTGTTGAATATACTCCACGGCTAAAAGTATTTGATAATAAAAAGAAAAGAAATTTTATCAGAACCATAAATCCGAATAAATAATGATGTATTTAAAGGTCATAATTATCTTGCAAACCAATTTTTACAGAACCACCCACAAATTTTACTCTTTTAAAAGACATATATTACATTTTTGCAGAATCAATGCCTCGCTTCTATGGCATTGACTTAAAGTAGGAACAATTTCAACTAGCTGATCAAAACCCAGACGTATATTCTGTCGCCTTTTCTGCTCAGATGCAATGTGATTCGCTTTTTTTTCGGCCTCAGTTAAAAGTTCATGAGTTCCTTTCTTTCCTCTGCCACCACGATTTGACGTAGGTGTTGATGGTGTCTGATTATTTGATTCTGAAGTAGATGATATTTTTGGTGATCCAGGAGTCGAGGATGTTCCATTTGTACCTGATGTAAAAGAAGTCGTTTGGTGTGGAGTTGGAGACGAACTATTTCCTTCATCAGATCTTGCTTCGGTTGAAATTCCATTTGAATCAGAAATTTTATTAGATTTTCTCCGAGAAGGAGTACGCTTTAAAGGTGGTTTTGACATTGAATTTAATCGTGGAGGTGAAGTAGACCGCTGCCTTCGATTGGGAAGACTAATTGGCTCGGTCTTTATGTACAGTGCGGATGCAGGTGTGGATTTTGCCTTTCCAATATTACTCATTCCACCATTATTCAAAGGCGGTATCTGATGATTTTGAGGATATTGTTGTGCATAATCATTATATACATGGACTTGTTGATAATTATATTGTAAATGACCAGTATTTGCCGGTATGGTGATAGAGGCAGAACCGATTGGTTGATATATGTACCCACTGGGACCAGCATATCCAACGTTTTCCTCAAAACCATGACCGTATCCTGGAGAAAATCCTCTGGGCGAAGATTGATGTAATGATTCTGTTTAAGAATACATTCGAATAATATGAAGATTAAGTTAATGAGTGATTTCGTGAAAATCTAAAAATGCACCAAATATTTTTTTCTAAAACCTACCAAAAATTACCAAAGACTAAATTTATTTACCTGGAAATGGAATACTAGTTACATTATTCTGCGTAATGTCCATCATATGACTCGGTGGTTCTTCGGTTGTGAGTGTGTTGAAGAAATCTGTTATGTATTTCTGATCTTGTTCAGTGAGAATTTCACCGTGTTGCACTTGCTCGGGATATCTAAACATACTTTCGGAGTTTGTTTGGAAAGACATGCTCACATACAGAGTCCGAAAAATAATATTCGTAAATACTTTGCAAAAAAATCGCGACGCAATAATTTATCAAGGCAGGTTTGCAGTCAAACAATCGGTTGCATGTATGAATTTTCGGAAAATACACCTGGTCATAAAAAAATCATTGATCCCAAAAAATGTTTATCAATAATAAAGAATAAATATAGCCGAACATGTAGTACTTTATATTTATATGATAACAAATATGCAAATACAATTTTATTATATTTTATATACAGTGTGAAACACTTGCTTTTGAAAAAATACATAAATATAAATATTTATATTTATAAATAAAAAGCATTTTCTTTATTAAAATTTTTTTTACAATATGAAATATTCAAAATTAAGGATTTATTTATAAATATTTAAAGAATTAACTTATTTAAAGCTTTTTTTTAAATATATAAAATAATTAAAAAATTTTAAATCAAATCAATAACAAAATAATTTTATATTAAATATAAATTTCTAATTATTCCTTAAACTGTATTGTAGGCAAATTTGCCTATAATTTTATTTGTCAACAAAATCATTTTATATCTCTTGATGCATGTTGCTCTTTAATCATGTATTCTTTTATTATGTATTTTAATTCATTTAAATCTCTAGAACAAGATTAACCTTTTTTCTTAATGGTCAAAGTACAAATAATATAATAATATTCTTCTCAAAAATGCATTATAAAAATAAGTATCAAAATTTGTCAAAAATTGGTCTACAGATTAAAGAATAACAAATATTTTAATAAATAAATAAAAAAGAGTTTAAAAAAAATTCAAAATATATAAAATTAACAATTGTTTTTCTATAATTTAAATATTTGTTTAACAAATATTAAGACAAATATAATATTTAATTATTCTGAAATTCTTTTATATTAATAATTAATTTAATTAAAAAATATTTTAATTGTATTTTTTTTAATATAATAAATTTATAAATTTAATACTTTTATAATAACAAAACATAATTACAATAATATTAATATTATTATCAAATATACTTTTACCAACTATATATCTAAAATATATCTTATTAATTTTAATTTAATTTAATAAAATACTATTAACTTTATTATTAATTCTTATAATTTAATTTTTTTTTTTTATACCAAATATTTTTTTTTTTTTTTTTTT